TCGATCTCGCTCTCGTCTTTCTCGATCTCGCTCTGTTCTTCTCGATCTCACTCTATCGATGACGTCGCTCTCGCTTTGTCCTCTCTCTTCTCTCCACTCTCTCGTCTCCCCTCCCTCCTCGACGCATTTGGTTTCATGAAGAAGAAGATAGTCCGGACAAGAGGGACGTGCAAGAGATATAGAAGGAAAGTTTTTGAAATCTTGAAAATTTGATTTTAGAAGAGAGGGTGAAAGAGTTGGGAAAAATAATAAGGAAATTTTTATCTTATTTCATATGCAAATTATTCTTGTTCAACAATGTCGTCGGAGAGGCCACCAGGGAGGCGCAAGAGCTCGGGATGGAAGCAGCAGACGGCAGCCGAACGGGACCTCCACTCGTTGAATTCCTAGCGGAGACGCCAAAAACTGGTGTGTGTTGTGTAGAAATCATGGACAAGATCAATCAAATCTAAGAAATGGAGGAGAGAGGAGGGGAGAGAGAAGAAAGATGGAGTCTGGAAAAGAAGAAAAAGTAAGGAGGGGCATGAAATGTCATTTGACAAAGTATGTGATGTCAGCAGGGCGATTAGAAAACTTAAGAGGCACCTTTATTTTGTCAATTTTGCCGATTCTTTAAGATATATATTAAAGGAAAAATTATTGAAGGAGCATATTACAGATTTGAGTTTGGATTTGTCACCCGTTGCTAGCTATTTATCTACTTGTGAGGATGGTTTTGTAGGAGTTACATCTGAATCCTCGATTTGGAAGTCTCGCTATGATCATGTGTCATCACTTCTACTTCTTTCATTCGACATGTCACATATCGTCAAATGTGGTAATATCGTCGATCGACCTTGTTAGGCTTAATCCAACTTTAGATTGGTTCGCTATTATGCAATATTTTAAATTTTTAGTAGCTGCCTTTTTATATTCCATATTAATAAAAGTTTTCAGTCTTATTTTTTATTTATTTATTATTATTATTATTATTTTTTTTTTGTCTCTATTTCAACCTGTGTATTATATTAAATATTTATCGCATTTTCACATCTTAATCTTCCAAGTAAATTAAACTCAGACGACATTGTAATTTTACCCCATTAATTTAGTATTTCATTTATGCAACCTCTCACTACCAGGTTTATGATTTTTATTTTTTTTTAATAGCACCAAGTTTATGATTTCTACTCCATATTTTAAACTTATCATTTTTAATAGTGATGAAATTTTGACATATTAAAAGAGCGTTGTAGGAGTCTATAACCAAAGCGAGCATAGTTCAACGATAATTGACATATATCTCAAACTAAGAAGTTGTGAGTTTGACCCTCCACCCCACATGTTGTACGAGAAAAAGAGTGTTATAGGAATTTATAGGTTGAAATCTGTCCAGTAACTGATATTTAGAACTAAATTAATAACAACTTTTTTTAAAAAAAAAATTGATTACTGATTAGATAATTACAAATTTGAAGTACTTGGTATTCTATTATGTAATAGTCATCTATTAATATTAATATTACCCTTCTATTATTCCAAAAAAAAAATAAAAAAAGAATTCATCAAAAATAAAAAAAAAACAATAGGTCATTTGATACCAATTAATGAAGTTGGTAATATTCACTAAAAATAAAAACAAGGGAATCAAGGCATCTTAGTGAGACTTCTAGGTTGAGGGAGTTGAAGCACAAACCCTAACAAAATCAATAGTAAATAATTATAAAGTTTATGCAACCCATGGGAGCAGAGTTAGAGTTAAATTTGTTCAAATAAATATATCTCGAATTAAAAGATTGTTGGTTCAAATCTCTACTATCACATGTTCTTGTCTTAGTGGCTTTGGTAGGACGACCCTTGCTTGAAACTTCAAGGCGCCCTTTCTTG